AGTAAAAGCCTATTTAAACTGCAATGTCTCTGTATGCTGGTTTGTGTGTTTTCCAACACAACTCTAACAATGCTTCTCTGAACGTACTCGCTCTCCCAACAGGGAGCTTACCTAACAACTGTGTTCCTATATTCATTGTATTGTAGTAAATTGTTCTAAGCACTTTTATTGATGTTTTAGAAACATTCTAGGTTTTAGGCATTTCACAATTTTTACAGTTAATGTTTTTTTGCCTTAATAACATAGCGTCTTATGCTCCATGCTTTTTCTTTTAAGGTGCCTACTGTTTGATTTGCTGTTTAGTGACTGTAATAAAGATTTATATAATACTGGTATGCAATGTGGATCTCAATTACTTCTCTGTAAAGCACTCAGTCTTAGGATGTAAGGCAGTGTTTCCAAAACATGAAATTTTCAGATGTGTGGACATCAAAGACTTAGAATTCTCTCTTTGTATTGGCCATCGAGGATTCTAAGAGTGAAGGTCTGTGCATCTGGAATGCATTGATGTCAGAAAACACTGCTCTAAGACAATACATATTAAAAGGAAGTAGCAGACGAGTAGCAGACTAACAGAGTAACAGAGTTGGAAGGGACCTTGGTGGTCTTCTAGTCCAACCTCCTGCTCAGGCAGGAAACCCTATATGCCATTTCAGACAAATGGTTGTCCAATTCCTTCTTAAAAACTTCCAGTGTTGGAGCACCCACAACTTCTGGAGGCAAACAAAAGGTATATAGTTGAAACCACTTTCCACTATTAATGTATAAATTCTGGATTACTGTGAAGTGACACAAGAGACAATAGATGGCCATTTGTGTTAAATGGCCTGAAATAGGAATTCTGTGATTTATTTCAGGCCACAAAAAAAGTTTAATAAATGTTTTTCATCATCAGGCTTTTCTAAACATCATCTTCTGATTTCTCTAAAAATCAACAGTTGCTACAAGTTATTTTTAACTACTCTGCCAATAGGACTTTTGTTCGCCTACAGCAGGAGTCTGCAACCTTAAACACACAAAGAGCCATTTGGACCCATTTCCCACAGAAAACACTGGGAGCCATAAAACATGGGTCCAACTCAATGTCACTCATTCCCACCCAATCATATGACACCATCCCTCAGTCACGCCTACCCAGGTTTTCTGGCTCCTGGTATTTTCTTTAATCTGGAAAACAGGTATCTCTTTCTGTGTCTCTTTTTCTCTCTCATCTCTCTCTCCCTCTTATCTCTCTTTCTCCCTCTCATCTCTCTTTCTCCCTCCCTCCCTCCCTTTCTCATCTCCCTTCTCTCTCATTTCTCTCTCTCGTTCTTTTTCTCCCTCCTCCTCATCTCTCTTTTCTGTGTGTGTGTGTGTGTGTGTGTGTGTGTGTTCCCTCTTGAATCATTTCCAAAAACAGGCGAGGGTTGGCTTTTTGGTTTGTCACTCCTCACCTGAGAAGGTAAAGACGATGACAGTGGATGGAGACTCGCTCCATATTCCAGAGCGGGAGCGAAGCACCCTTGTACTTGCCTCTTCTTCCAGCCCTTGTTGGTGCTGTGTGCACTTCAGTCTCTTGGGGAGAGATGTGACTTTCTCTCTGCCCTGAGACACAGGCCCAGCCCGGCTGATGCTCTGCATTGTAATGGGCTCCAGGAGAAGGGGATGCCATCTCCACCACTGTGAAGCACCCTAAATTTAAGTGTGCTGCGGAAAGCGCTACAAGTGCAGCAAGCAGGCCATGGAGGTGGCGAGAGCAAGACTGGGCAAGTGTGTCAGGGTGGAGAGAAAGTTGCATGTCACCCTGCACGACTGAGGTGCGTGCAGCACCAGCAAGGCCCGGAAGAAGAGGCAAGTACAGGGCCATTTCGCTCCCGCTCTGGAATATGAAGCGAGTCTCCATCCGCCACCCTTCTCAGGTGAGGAGTGACTTGGAGGGGGTGGGGGCGGGACCAGCCAATGATGGTATCCAATTTGGCAGGGAGCCACAGCCGGGGACGAAAGAGCCGCATGTGGCTCCAGAGCTGCAGGTTGCCAACCCCTGTATTAGAAAGAAATCCATTAAAATAAAAATGAATTTTGAAACTTTTTATTAGATTGGGAGTTGAGATCACATAATCTTTGGATATAAAAACAAAGCTAAAAGGAATGTCACAGTAATTGATGTAGTCTGGCTTCTGATCGTTTAAGTTAGTAACAAAAATATAGTTCAGTGGAACTACATTGTTTATTCACTTTAAAAGACAATAATAACATACTTTTTGAAAAAGTAGACACTATTCAGGCTCATAATTCCATGTTTACTTTCAAACAGAAATTAAATGAATAATTTTCATTTAAAATTTCATAATTTTAACTGTTAAGATTAAAATATCCTGAAAAAAGATTGTTGCTTGATTGTATAATGGAAAAAATGTACCATTTGTATGTTTCACATACAATGTATTTAGAAAAGGGGGTGAAACTTTTTTCTCACATAGGAGGACAGTTACATAGAGATATTGGTATTGAATGATACTGCTTTGTAAAATAATACTGCTACTGCTTTGTTCAGAGTATTTAGTAGAGGATTACAAAACAAAAACTTTTGATAGTATTACTATGGAAAAAAATGAAGGAACTTGATTCAGAATTACCTTAATATTTAGTAGGAAGAACTATCGTTAATACTTTTAAAATACTTAATTCATAATTGTGATTATGACCTATTCTTTTTGTGATGCTTTTCTTAGGCCTGAGTTCAACATAGAGTCTGACGTCTTGAAGCAGAATTATGTGATAGGTTACAGACAGACAAGATGACCAGCAGTTTGTGGCAAGCAGTTCTTCCCATAGTTTTTGGATAACCACCAGTTATACTGTGGATGGACTAATCACACAAATGCCTTGTCTCTTAGACCAATCTCCATTTAGTTCTATTTTGAGTATAATTCAGCAAGTTCAATTCTTTAATTTTTGGGATCTATTGGCCTGAGTTGTTTGGTTAAGATTTTAAATCCTGCTGCCCCATGCCAAATGCAGAAGGCAAAATATGCACCAGAATTGTTGCTGTATACCCTATATTTTTTAGTTATGCTTTTCCAAATTCCAGCATAGCTTCCCATCTCTTCCTAATTGAACTGCTCCACTTGCCACTAACTGCATAGCAGCTGGGAAGGCTTTGTGTTCTGCCTCCTTCACTCTTTCTGACAGAATTTCCTCTGTGTCTCCAATCTTCACTGGAACAGCTTCTTGAAATATTATTGCTCCAGCATCAACTTCTTCCTGGAAAGAAAAGAATAAAAAGCTTTAGCAAGATGGCTGTAATTTAAAATCATCTGCAACAACAAAGGATACAGCGAGACTGGCTAACTTAATTCTTAAACTATAAAATATCTATGTTTATCTAAGGGGATAATCTATTATTCTTGAAATATATTTATCAGTATTCTGCTAGGAGGGACAATCCATGTGTATATATATTTTTTCTATGCACATTTTTAATGTTTTGTTTAGTTTTACTTTGTCAAAACTACAGGATTATAGCTCAGATCCCTGGTTACCTTATGCCGAGTTTCTATATTTGCTCTCAAAAGCTGTAATGAGCAGTTAAGCTGATAGCCAAAGGCTTTAAATTAAACTGATCAACTGAATAATAAAAATAAGCACATACAGCCACAAAGTGCACAGTACAGCCAGTGACACGGACTCCAGCCTCCAGGACTAGTTTATGTGCATTAGATCCTTTAAATGAAGGCAGCAAAGAAGGGTGAACATTCAAAATTTTTCCTAGGGAAAAAAGACAATACATTGCTGTTAAATTCATTTTTATAATTTTATAAAATTAAAATATGCATTAATGTGTTTGCATAAAAATAAGAATCAAAACACTCTTTCCCCCATTTAATTAAAACAGGGTAGAAACTGTGTAATGCCTGTCCAATGCTGTCAGATAAATTCTGGTTTGGAAGTGGTCAAATCAAAATCTGAAACCGCTTACTGATAAATCTTGTTAGATGTCAGGGAAAAATTGCCAAATCAATGACTTAGAACTCTGTTTTCATGGGGCACTATTTAGATAGTATGTGGGAATTCTCAGGTAAAGGGAGAAATAAAGCACAAGTCAAGATATGAAGTTTAAAGTATGAGTATATAATGCAATATATCAAATTTGAAACAGCAATCCATAATGATCAATGTATGTTTTTAATGTCTATTATCATATTTCATCAGTACTTATTAATCACATTTGCAATACAGTGCATATTTGCATTGGAATCAATCGAGCGCCATCCAATCCATTGTAATGATATTTCAACAAATTGTCATCTAAGCTAGTGCTGTCTATTCTGACTGGTAGTGTTTCTCCAAGATCTGCCATCAAAGTATTATTGTGATCCGTAGAATAACAACCTTGGAATTGAAATTTGAACTTTTTGCAGTACTTGCAAAAATCAGTCTGTAGATAAACCTTTTAAGATTTAGAACAGACCTTTAAGACTCTGCATTTGTATAGTAGATGAAGCAGGCTGGCATGACCCGAGTTCCAATTTTAAAAAGATTAAGCCAGTAGAACGAATGCTCATTTAGAGAAAAACTCAATACTTTCATGCATCCTTTTTCTTCTTCATTGTCTCTTTTAAAAGAAATACCAATGTGTATTCCCTGAGCTTCTCATCATACTGGTCATAAAGGCTCTACTCTGAAGGGCAGCCTATAACTCTCCTGATTGCCTTCTCATCCCAATTTCTTTCAAAACTCTTCTATTGCAAGAGATCAATTCAGATGTCTAAAATGACCCTTTGTCTCCTGCAGCCTTCTAAGTAAGGACAACAACAACAAAAAAGAGGTGGTGGTCCTTTTCACGTTGGGCTAATATTTCTTAACTCTAAAATATGTTTGATTTTTGATTTTATTTAGCATTTATAGGCCGCCCTTTTCCCTGAGGGGACTCAGGNTTCTTCTTCTTCTTCTTCTTCTTCTTCTTCTTCTTCTTCTTCTTCTTCTTCTTCTTCTTCTTCTAACAATTGGGAGACTTCCTGCAGCAAAATACATTGTGGTTTGATTTTACACAACTTGTGGGTGGGGAATAACCTTGAGTTCTGAAATGAGATATATTTCATATTCTTTCAGGGACTGTTAGTCTTATTTACAAATAAGAGTTCTTAGCCTTCTGCCTCTCAATCATCTGTCATCTTTGTAATGGGATGGCGGAAGCAGACTTAATTTTAATGGCTGAGTCACCTGCAACCAGGTAGAATGGTTATTTAAGGTATTTCCAATGCAAATAAATCAGTGGTGGGTTCTGGGTGGTATGGCTTGGTATGGCCGTACCGGTAGTAGCTGGGAGCAGCAGCCACCGTACCAATATGGTGGCTCGTTTGGCCCACCCACCTGTCCACATTCCATGGCTGTTTATAACGCGACTGGCCCATTGCGCACGCGTGCACAGCATGCAGCACCTGCCCAATCTCCGCCGAGCAGCTGGGTGTCGCAGGGTGGTGGCATGTGCATGGGTGCGCAACATACATGCTTGTCTAGGACGCCTGACCCCATGCGTACTGGCTGCGCCGGAGCCTGGAACCCACCACTTTTACAATGACTTTACCAAAAAGTCATTGTAAAAAGGTGCAATAAAAATCAAGCAATGAAATAGGTTCCCTCTCAAAATCTGTAAAGTGGAACAGAAAGTGCTGTATGAAAATATTGGCTGGGGCGTAGAAAGCAAAGCAGGCCTGTCCATAGGTAGGTATTCTTTGTAGAAAGCATTCTAAATGCAAAGACCCTCCTTATTCATGAGTCCTGTTATTGAAGACAATTTTACAATTAGGAATACATGGACGGCCCATCAGCGCCATGAAAAACAAGATCCACAGAGAAACGTGGAATCTATCTTTTATGAATCTCTTGTTCTGATGTTATGTATGTGGACAGACAAAGTGAGGCCAGGCTTGGGTTGCTTAGTCACAATCCCGGTTGGAGATAATGGTTGGGCTCACATCATGCACTCAATCATAATGTAAACCATTTCATTTTCAAGTAGTGTCCTCCCTGAACTCAACGCGCTTACTGACCATTTGCTGACTCGCAGTGCTCACTTACTGACCATGTTCTCAGCAATTGTTTGAAGTTACGACAGCAGGAGACTTAAGGCAGGTCCTCAGAGTTGCAACACACTATCCTGTGATCACAATTTGTGTACTTGACAACTGGTGCATTTATCTATTTATTTATGAGAATTTGTATGGCTGCTCACTGACTCTCAGTGACTCTCTGCAGCTTACAAAAAATAAAACCCCTATATAGAAACATTCAAAACAATAATCCTTATGTGGTGATGACACTTGATTGGCTACATCCCATTCTTGGTTTCCTAGGTCTGTTGGCAAAAATCAGGTCTCCGGGATCTTTACAATGGTCACCATATCCTGTAGTCACATAATTACTGCTTGCAACCTTTACATAGCTTGTAGATATTTTCGGTCATCCAGGTCATGGTTGTCTCAAAGGTGCTTTTTCCAGGAGGCAGCTGGACTTTCTGGTTTTTCTTTAGAGACATTTTGCTTCTCATCCAAGAAGCTTCTTCAGCTCTGAGAGTATAGTGAGGAATGGAAGGCTTTATATTCCCCTTGCAGGCAGCTGGTCATTTGCATCCTTTTAGAAGGCCATTGAAGCACTTGGGGATTTATCTAGGTCCTCAGGGTCAGCTGAGTAGCACTCCTGGTTCCTGTAGTCTGCAATTTTTCAGAGGCCCCCTGGAGGCCAGAAACAGGACCATTTCCAGCCTCCCTGAACTTCTGGTAAGCCCATTTTTCACCCTTCCTGACCCTCCGCTCACACCCTGCACTTACCTGCATCCAAAACGGGCCGTGTGGGGACTCATGGGAGGGGAGGGGTGGGCGGGGCCAGCCAAGAGTGGGATTTGGAGGTTCTCTGAACTGCATAGAAT